ACATTTCTAACTCATTTCTCAACTCAGCATCATGATATTTTCTGAAATATCAACTCTTCCAAACTGGATGTTATTTACCAATGTTCAACTTTCCCCAGAGTCTACTATTGAAGCAGCTGTACCATATTTTGGATGTTACGCACCAGCAGCCTGGTTCCATTATTTTTGAAGTAGTGTCGTGTTTAGGTTCATCTTGTCTAAAATCATGTCCTAAACAAATTCTAAAACTCTATGCTTGGCAGTACTATTCCCTTCATATTCTGAGATCCCTGAGCAATGCCTGTCTAACTGGCCAGCATTTGGAACAAATATAACTTCTGAAAATGTTACCTTGTCAATTCTGGACTTCAGTTTAATGCCAAACAACATACATCTGATTTTAGAATTGGCCAATTACATTTTCTAATGTCATTGGTGATAACTTTCACAGTATGACTATTGCTTAGATGGAATGTGACATTCTCAATTTCACACCAGGCAATCAAATCACAATGCTAATAAGAAACCATCTGTCTGTATTCTAATGTATGTCTAATACACCCACGTTCATATTCCACCAGCCTCCCAGAGCAGTATCCTCAGTATAAGAAGATATAGTATATCAATCAAGAATCAGAACTTTCCTACAGGAAATGTTCCCTTATCCTTGAAATAATGTCCTGCCTCCTCCAAATCCCTTGTTTTTCCTGACAGCAGGGGAACTGTCATTCAAGTATAACTATGAAGCTATCGCACCCTGAAAGGTCTTGTCTACATACCTCTCTGGATAAATAAGCATTTTTCAATTCAGCCACCTTGGTTTCAAGGAAATGGATTTGTTCCCTAAGAGACAGAAGCTCATTTTATTGATCACAAGCACATAACTTATTTATAACTGTTAGGAAAGCTCCATCTTTCTGTTTTTCTTTAACTTAATACTAGTTATTGCTGATCACTTGGTTTTAATCTAAAAGGTTGTCTTTATGTTGTAGTTTTACAGATTTTACAACCCTGGCTTCCTCACACTGTTGCTAGACTCACTTTGAAACTGACTACACAGCTATGCAGGCCAATTCTTAATAGATCCCAAAGAATGACAAAATGATGCTATTAAAAGTCATTCTAGGATTATCTTTAAAATATGCACTATGGTAGCATCCCTTCAGTTGCTGGGAATCCCTGACAGCAAAACATAGTACCTCCCAGAATTATCTACAATATGTCAAAATTCAAAAGGGAATCCCTAATACCTGTCTTTTATACCTTTGCATTATATGTTCACATGTTACATTCCTAACTTTTCTTACCCAGGTGCAAGACATGACTTTCAGTATTATCCAGAGCCATTGAATAAATGTAAATAATAAAATAAACAATAAAATAAAATAAAACTCGGTAAAGCCACAACATGAGAACAAACCTTTAGATTAAATAGTTCCTAAAACACAAAGACAAGTTATCAGCAATAACTATTATGAATTTAAAATAAAACATAATAAAATAAAATAAATGGATGAGAAAGAACAGTCTGCAAACTACTGGTGCAACAAACCAGATGAGGGAAAACAACCATCAGCCAATGGATTATATTTCTATAGCAATATAGAGCTATGTACTCCCAAATGCTAAGTCTCTGGAGTTGGAGGTTAGTGCTTTCCCCCCCCATTACTCTCTGGTCTTAATTACCTCCTGTTTGCTCTAATCAGATGCTGCTCCCAAATTCCTCTCATCTTTATGAGGACTGCTGGCTGGACTCTATAAATATTGAGTACAAGAAATGCAATAAAGGTATACAGGTATTAAAATGGATATGCATCATGAAGAGAAAGTATTGTTGCATAAGAAAAAAATTCCAACATATGTAGAAAAGATTATTTTTATAATGGATGACTAAAGACATAAAGAAGATAATCTGGACAGATTAACTATGAGGTTGAAAGATAAAGAAGATACAGACTACTATCAAATTTGGAACCTATTTTATTCTTGGCTAGAGGAAAGAATGAAGGACTGGGAATTGAATATGTATTAGCATAGCAAACTCCAGACAACTTGTTGATTGGAAAAATTAACATATGTTGATGAAAAAAAAACCAATAAAATCTTTACTAAAAAAAAAAAGAAGATAATGTCTATCATCACTAAATATATCAGTCTTTCTCAGCAAACATATTCCATATATGCTGTGAATTCCAGAATTCCAAGCCAGGAACTTTAGCCTCCATTTAAGTCTTTGAAGAAGTTCAGAAATAGCTTTGGAGTTATGTAATCCAGTTTTCTTAAACATTTTACTATTTTTAAAAAAAATTAAATCCGAGCAAGCTTGATATTTTCTCTTGTCGTGCTGCAGCTCTGTAGAGCTTGTGAACAATTCATTCTCTCCATTGGTTATATGGATCTACTTGCAGTGATTTTCAATAGCATTGATTTCCAAGTCATAATTCTGCAGCATGAATAAAGCAAGCAAGTTTGTCACTATGCTACTTGTGATATCACAATTCATAAGAATTCTGGCAATGCTTTAAGACGTTATTGCATATTTATTAAGGTGGATTTAATTAATGCATATGGGAAAGAAATATCAAGTAAGAAAATTTTGTATTATATTGAACTATTATTAACTTGAATTTAATATAAATGTAAAATAGTAATTTAAAACTGAATTAATATGTGGGCAAGTTGTCCAAAGATAGGTTGTATAGTAACTTGATTTATTTGTCATGGGATATTAAATAATCTCAGCAAACACTCCAAAATCTAAAAATAAAAATCCTGGTAATGTCAGGGAAATCAGGAGATTCAGGCCGTTCAAATGGCCATGTGACCGAGTGAAATGCACAGGAGTTAAGAACAGAAAGGAATTCAAGGTAGGCTGGGCTTAGATCTCTTGTGAGTGCAAAGGGACTCATGACTTATGACACATTTGACCTCTCCCTCGAGATCAGCTTGGTCATCTGCTTCAGGTACTAAATATTAGTTTTAAATCTATGCAGTAATATCTTCTCTACTATTCTAAATAGATGGCAAACTACCAATTAACTGAAAAAAATCTTATCAGAAATAATAATAAAAAGACAAAACCCTATTAATCCAGGTGAAAGTAACAAAGACCCAACATTATAAACTATTTGAATATAATATTTTTTTTCTTTGTTGTTAGTTGCAAAGTCGTGTCCGACCCATCATGACTCCATGAACAACGTTCCTCCAGGTCTTCCTGTCATTGTAACCAACTTTAAGGGACAGTGCTCATCTCTGTTTCTGAACCAGCACTGTCCAAAGATGTTTCTGCATCTTATGGTCATCATATCATACCACATCGCAAAGTGTATAGTAAAACATGGAATGCTCTTACCCTCCCATTAAATTGGTACCTATTTATCTACTTGCATTTACATTCTTTCAGACTGCTAAGCTGACAGGAGCTGAGGTAAGTCATGGGATTCATTTAATCATTCAATGTATTTTCATTAAATACATTTTAATTCAAATGTTTATTTGAAACACATTTAAGCATTTAAAAATAAAGCTTGTGTAAAATGTATTATTGCAGGCATACTAGATCCTCTGCATTGTATTGAAGGCAATTGGGCTATGTGGGCCATCTAAGTAAATCTGTGTATATAACTAAAGCTTTTACTGGGACCACCAGTGAAAATAAATGACAGAACACATATGGGAAGGTGGGTTGATAAAGAACTATTTCTAAGTAATTAATTAATCTTGAAATTGGCTGCTTCATTTCAACCACAAGGAAAATCAGAGTAGCATACAAATATACCATGTTTCCCCAAAAGTAAACCCACCCCGAAAGTAAGCCCCAGCTGATTTTTTTTGGGTAGGCCTAATATAAGCCCTCTCCCCAAAAATAAGCCTTACTTAAGGCCCTGAATGGATGGCCTGTGATGAGGAAAAGCCGACAGGGGAGGGGGGGTCTGACCCACAGTACCAGTATACCGGTTCCTTACCGCCACCTGCCTTGTTCTCCGGCATTGGGCAGGAGGTGGCAAATGGCCATTTTTGGTGAAATGCAGCCATTTGCCATGGGCCGCAGCCATTTGCCACCTCGCACCTCACGCACAATGCCACTGCAACACTGCTCGGCCGAAAGAGGCCCTGAAACAAGTGGAGCATGTTCCCTCCCTCATCCGCCCATTCTCTTCTCTGTCAGAGAAGAGAACTTCACAGCTCTGCCTACAGAGCTACCAAAGCAGCAGGTGAAGCTCCAGAGGCTTGGGGAGAGAGGGTGCTGAAGTAGGTGGTCGGGCCATTGGCAAGAGCAACACGTCTCAGTGGAAAGCAGCCTCAGAACAAGTGGGGCAGGTAAGGAAATAAATCTCTGCTCCCCCCAGGAATTGCCTTTCTTTCCTTACCTGACTCCCAGCCTTGTGCCATTTCTCCTTTGTGATCCGCTATCACCATGTGCAGGTAAACAAAGGCAGGTTTTTTTGGGAAAAAAGATCAATCAATTCCCACTTCTCACAGAAAAAAGAAGATCTCACAAAGTTGGAATTGAGTGATTGACCTCCCCCCCCCAAAAAAAAGTTCCTTTGTTTTCCTGCACAATGCAGTGGTGGATCGTGAAGGAGAAATGGCACAGGGCTGGGAGTCAGGTAAGGAAAGAAAAGCAATTCCTGGGAGGAGAGAGGATTTCTTTCCTTACCTAACCCACTTGTTCCAAGGCCACTGTCATGGTTCTGATAGATGAAATCAATTAAAAGAACTTCAAGGAAAAGATTTCTTCCTTAAAGAACATTTTATTCAGGAAACAAACTATCGGCACTTACACAGTTGAACCCACGACTAAAATTCCCTCCTCTCTGATACAATGTAACAAGTTGCAATTCCCACCCAAGAAAGCATTTCATAAATCACATTCACCAGTTAATCTAAAACGCGGGCTCTCCTCCCTACTTTCTGCCTGGCAAAACTTTATCTAGAATTGATCTTGAAGCTCACCCAGCTGCAATTGTTTAAGCTAACTGAAAAAGCTCAAGCATTTCCTCCTTCTCCCCTTCTATATCTGAGAAAACCAAACAACAGGAAAGAACAAAGAAAGCAAAAGGTAAAATGGCTGCAATTTCTTAATTGTCACAGCGTTGACAGAAAGGAAAAGTCCTGCAAATAAAAAAAAAGCATAGGTTAAGGATTTCCCCTCGGTTTGTTCAGATGTTTATCATAAAATTTACAAATACGTCTGTCAGCTTTTATATCAGTACATTTCAACCAAGTAACTTCTGGCAATGGGTAGCCTTTCCACTGCACCAAGTATTGCAATCTCCCCTTGTACAATCTAGCATCAAGAATACATTTCACTTCATAGTGAGTCTCCCCGGCCACCACAAGTGGTCCAGGAGCTTTCTTGGGAGGGGGTCTTAGAGTTGATTCTCTGAAAGGTTTCAACAAACTGCAGTGAAATATAGGGTGAATCTTCCCTAAAAGCTGAGGAAATTTTAATTCTAGAATAACTGGGTTTAGAACTCGCACTATGGGGAAAGGACCCAGGTATTTCGGTCCCAATTTTTGGTAGGCAATTTGAGTCTTAAATACTTCATGGACAATAAACCATTTCCCCCACACAAAATGACCTCTGGGGAGCTCTTTTCTTATCAGCTTGTTTTTTATACATGTTTGAAGCTTTTTTCAATGCTTTCTTGGCATTGTCCCACACTCCCTTCCAAGCTGACAACCATTGGTCTAACGTCAAGATCCCCCATCTTGGGGGTATTTAGGCATTGGGATAAAATCCTTTCCAGTGGCAATCTTAAAAGGCATGAAACTGATGCTACTGTGGACAGTGTTGTTGTGAGCCACTTCAGCAAATGGTAGGAGGTCAGTCCAGTTCATCTGTTGGTAATCCACATAGCACCTAAGATATTGTTCCACCATTGTGTTTGCTTTTTCAGCCATTCCATTCATAGATGGATGAAAAGTCGATGACAGTCTTTGCATTGAGCCAATTATTTTCAGAAACTTTCTCCAGAATTTAGCTGTAAATTGTACCCCCTGTCAGAGATTACATGCTTTGGTGCACCATGTAGTTGGTAAATGTGTTTAAGGAACATCTTAGCCAATTTCTGGGCTGATCGGAGGCCGAAGCAGGAGATGAAATGAGCCTGCTTTGAAAAAAGATCAATCACAGTCTATATTACAGCAGATAGGAGAATTATTTCCTAATTTTATAAGTTCTTGCTTGGATTGTACTTTACTTTCAGTTGCAGTGGCTGTGATGATGATATCTGATGTTGTCTGGTTTATTTATTCATTCAAGCAGACTTCATCTGAAGTCTTACTGTTATTTTGAACTACAAATCCAATATTTTCTAATCAGCACAGCCAACTAAAGTATTTAATTAACTTCCAAATACTAAATTAATTACTTTAAAGATTATGTGAATGCTATCTGGCTATGACAGATAACTATTTAGCAAACAGTTAACCTTAAGATGATGAGTGGGATAAGTGAATGTTTTCTTGTTTCTTAGGCACTTAATTCATGGTCTGAAGTTATTGGGCAAGTGCAAAAAAAGTGAAGATCTTGGTAATGAGCCTGCAGTAGAAGCAATGAAGTGAGTCCTAATAACATAAAGTCCCAGACATGAAACCTTAGGCTAAAGCTTGTCTGTTATGAACTTTATCTTTTCTTTGACAGTAAATAAATTACTTTCAAGTGAACATTCCCAAAATAAATATTGTGGGGGATATTCATTGTGTTGCATTCAGTTAAAGGTGCTCTTGAAATGAAACACAACATTGGGGATACATTCAAAGAATAAAATGATCAGTTATCCTCCTTTGGTTGAATAACAACAGATATAACATGTCTGGACACTCAGACCCCTGTACTGTATCCTAAATTTGAATTTGCAATTCAAAAGGAAATCTGATTCATTTGAGCTTTTTTGAGATTTAATCAGAAAACAATTGACTATGGTCTATATTAGGGAAACATCAATGTACAGTATCTGCTTAATTTTTTATAGAGAGAATGGGATAAAAATAGTTAAGATAGTTGATGCTTTAGAAGACATCAGCCCAGAACTTTTATGACAACTAAAAAAAACCCTGCACCTCTTTTAATAGTTAAAAAAGGGTAACATCCCAGTCTCCAAAAAGCCCCAAAAGCTTATGTTCTGCTGATCCACTTCAGACAGTTCCTAACACTATCTAATTTAATTTTCAAAACTTCCAAGAATTTTTATAAGGTCAAGCTTTAACTTTTCCATTTCTTGTCCTTGAATGCTAAATTAAACATAACATGGACTTGACTAAATTTGAATGAGGGATTCTTCTATTTTTGATCACTGGATATCTTGCACTTTCAGGGGAGTAGGATATCTGGTTAGAAGCTTCTCTTGTCTGGAGAGGCCCCTTCACCACTGTCTTTGGTGGACAGCCAGGTTTAGCAGGATATATTCAGTATGATCATTGACTACTTATCTTTATTAATTGGTACAGTTTACTATCTTTGATCACTGAAATGTGGATGGGGAGAGACAGAAGGGTTGGAATAGATAGTTGGCAGGCCTGGACCTTAATTAACATTACAAATATCATTTTTGTACAACATATAGAATGTTGGTAACTGATTGAACTTCCATCTAGTGTTGGTAGAAGCAGCACAGATGTGTATAATTCCTTTAACTTTTCTCCTTTTTCTCCTCCTAGAAACAATTCTACTAAGTAGCATCCAAGTTCTAGTGTGCGTTTTTATGTATTGCCCTTTGAAACAGTGTTGTTCTCCAGCATGATGAATATAGAATCCACCGGTGGTAATCTCAGCTTTCCTGCTCAGAAGAGACTAAGTCAGAACTTTAGCCACGCCTCCCTCTGGGAGTGTCCTCCAGTATTTTGACTGAGTCTCGCTCAGTAGGACGCAATTACTTTGGCTCCTCAGTTAGACTAGTTAATTAATTTGGTTTATTCCTAATTGCATTTCAATTTACTCAAAGATTTCTAATAATTTATTTGTTTTATTCTTACTTGATGTTTGGATTCAAATTGACAAGAATTTGGCAATAATCCTCCTGGATATTACTCAGGCCTTTGGGCCTCAAGAGCCTAATAGGCTCCTACAGGGCAGGCTACAAGCTGCTCACTGGTGGATTTTTCTTGCTCCCGTTGAACTGATCAGCGGGACCGCTGATCAGTCGGACAGCTGGTTTGCGGCTTTTCGGAGTTCCTTGGAGCTTACACAGACCAGAGGGTTTCCCTTTCCTTGCTGTTGCTGTCGCAGGAGTTTTCTCCGTTGGAAGCAGGTGACTTCGGATTGCAGCGGAGCTGCGCAACCAAACCGCAAGTGCCTTTTCAGAGCGGGGGGAAGAGAGCCTATTTAGACTGCTGGTTTTAAGGCTCTTCTCTCCAAGGGGACTTGTAGCTCCAATTTTTTCTGTTTTTTGGCATGTTCGCCATTGTTCAGAGGCACTAAAAGACGTGGCCGCCATTTTGAGTGTGTGCTCAGGGCGTGGCCGCCATTTTGGAACAGATTTAAGTGCGATTGCCATTTTGTAGGGACCTCGTGTTCCTTTGTGCTTTATTGGGGCCTGCTTGATTGATTGCCCTGGCCTGCTGTGACAGGCCTTCACCAGGGGGGAAGCATTTGCAGATTTTTCCAGATAATTCGGTGTGTTATTAAGAGAATCACACCAGGGATCGCCTTGTTGCACCTGCATTATTATTCTGACTACTCATTGAAATTAAGGTTGTATATCTTCTTTACTAGTGTGTGTTGGGTGAAGGGGAATTTATTTAGAATCCACCTGTTTCTGTTTAGTCTGTGGCTTTGTGCCACAAGGCCTTGACAGGCAGTTCTAGTGAACTGTCTGGCTATTTTTGCCATTGCTATGGTTCAGAGTGAGGGCCGGTTTCCCATCTCTGACTACTAGATCTGTGTGTTTGGGTTCCCCCCACTTTTAGATATCTCTTGCCCAGATTATCTAGATTGCAATGGCAGACAGTTCCTTGCCCCAGGCATCACAAGGCTCTGGTATCCCCCTGCACAGACAAAGCGCAGATCAACTGATTTGGATGCAGGGGGGGGGGAAAGGCCAAGACAAAGCATTTATCTACCAGAGAGCCCTCCAAGGCAGCCGAGCGAGAGGCCACGAGGAGACACCAGGCGCTGGAGAGGGAATTCTCCAAAGCCCAGAGGCTCATGTCCAGTGAAGCTGAAGTGGTTTCCCCCAGTTCCATTGGACACTTCTCCATTTGAGCCTCCATTTGCGCCTTCCCATGATGCCCCTAGGGCATGGTCTCCTCAGGGGGAATCTGAACAAGTTGGTCCCCATCGCTCATTATCCTCACCTACACAACAGGGTCCTGAAGCCACGTATGCCTCAACTGAGGCTGGGGTCAGTTCTAGGGACCAACAGAATGTGTGGTTGGCACAATTTCAGGCATTTATGCAACATGCATTTACTCAGTTTATGTCCTCCTCTAGGAGTCAACCACCTTTGCAACCTCCATTGCCTCCATCCATACCACCTTCTCAAGTGGGACGTGTCACAGTCCCTGGTTTTGGCATCTCTGAGACTTCCTCCCAGTTAGGAGAGGAGGGGTCAGTGGACCTAGAGATAGCCGACATGCCTATGTCTGAGGATGAGGAGGCAGCATCTGAACAGGCGCCAACTTCGGGTCTTTTTGATTCATCTCTTTTCAGGTCTCTACTTATCAAGGCCTGTACCACGGCCAACCTCACTTCAGCCCAGGAGGACAAACCTTCCACCTCCACTAGCCAGGAGTCTAACCCTTTGTTTGCAGAACAGGTTGTGGAGGAGAAACAGATTCTTTGTCTGCATGTCTTTCTTACTACGGTGGAGAAACAGTAGTCATCCCTGGCTACTTTGCCTTCTCCCAATAGTGCAGAGAAGAAACTGTTCAATGTTTCTTCCTCATTCGCTTTTCTCTTAGACGTGCCTTCTGTGGACACTCCTTTAACTTCTTTGTTTTCCACCTCTGCTATTCCAGGGGATATGGCTGAAACCCTGAAGGTGGAGGACAAGTAGTTCGAGTTCTCTCTTCAACGAGCTCACCAATCCTCGGCCTGGGCGATCAGGGCTGCGACTTCATCTTCCTTTTTCGCAAGAGCATCAATTATGTGGCTCCGCGAACTTCAGGCACTCGTTCCCTCTGATCAGGTTAGGACACATCAGACACTAGGGAAACTAGTGGCAGCGTCAGAGTACATGGCAGATGTTTCTCTTCATTTGGCCAGGTATTCTGCAAGATCCATTGCAGCTACTGTTGCTTCTCGCAGACTTCTGTGGCTGAAGCAGTGGCGGACTGACTTAAAGTCAAAGTGGCATCTGTCAACGTCCAAGTACAGTGGTACACACCTATTTGGTTCAATCCTCGAACCACACATAATTGAGGGCAAGGACAAATGTAAGGTCCTGGCACACCCATCCAAAAGGTTGGATAGGCAGCCGAACCAGGAGTTTCATAGGCAGGTCTTCTGTCCCAGTGGTTTCTGGGAGTGGAGGCAGCCCTTTCGGACCAGGCAGTCCTGGGATTGGCCCAGAGGCTCGTGATCTTTTCCCCCCAGGCAGGATCGCCAACAGGATCGCCAGAACATTGCAGCCAAGGGCCAGTTCCATTCTAAGCATCTCTTCACTTGGACCGCTATATGGGGGTCATCCATATAGCGGTCCAAGTGATGCCAAGGAGGACTCTCCCATAGGGGGTTGCTTGGCACTGTTCAGTGATGTTTGGGAGGTCACCATCACTGACTCTTGGGTCAGACAGACCATGAAACACGGGCTCACTCTAGAGTTTTATTCACCTCCTCCAGATCATTTCACCCAGTGCCCAGTATCACGACACACAACCAAGGCAAAATTAGTAGCCACGGCCATCTCCCATTTGATAGAAATCAAGGCAATAGAGCCTGTACCACAGGAACAGGAAGGAGAGTGGTTTTACTCCATCCTGTTCGTGATTCCCAAAGCCTCAGGGGGATGGAGGGCAATACTGGACTTAAAGGGCCTGAATTACTTCTTGACCTACAGAAGGTTCAAGATGCAGTCCCTAAAGTCCATTCTGGCCAGCATCAGGAAAGGGGACTTTCTCTTCTCCATATACCTGACAGAGGCATACTTACACATTCCGATACTTCTGGACCATCGCAGGTTCCTTCGGTTTTGTTACGCGTGCCAGCATTACCAATACAGGGCCCTTCCCTTTGGTCTCTCTTTAGCTCCAAGGGTCTTCACAAAAGTTTTGGCAGTATTGGTGGCCTACCTCAGGATGATGCCGGTGTGCATGCAATGCTACCTGGATAATATCTTAGTACAGTCCAGTTCCTTCCAGTCGGCTCTGTCAGATCTGGAAATCACGATACATACCCTTCAGGTTCACAGATTTTCCGCGAACTTCAAAAAGAGCCACACGATCCCCACAAAGTGCCTCCTTCATCTAGGGGCGATTATAGATTTGGATCTTTGCAAGGTTTATCTTTCTCAGGAGCGTTGGATCAGCATCCGAAAGCTCGTGCACCAGGTTTGGAGAGAGAGAACAGTGCCTTTGGTCCAGCTGTCTCAGCTCCTGGGAAAGATGGTTTCTTGCATGGGGA